ACACAATAGGCTGAAACCACAAATAGGAAAATGGAAGGTGTTAATTACTGTAATGAGATGATAAGATTAGGAATTTAGGGAATTTGTTTGAATTAATAAGATGAGAAAAACAGATAAATACACTGATATTTGAAGGTACTAAGTGTGGTGTCATAGACGAGATTCTACAGCTTTATTCATGTACAGAGAAGAAGATGATGTATATTTGAAGCCAAATCCACCACCTATTACATTTATTCATATTTTTATATTATTTATGATGATTTTTTTTTAAATAGAGTGATTTGGGGTTTGCACAAAGATGATGGGGTAACTGCCACAGATAGGCTATCGATTTTTTCTTATTGTGAAATGATTAGTTTAATAAATAAAAAATATCAATTAAAAAAAGTATTATCAAAAATAATCATTTGGGCAGCACCAAATAAAGCTTTGAAGCTATACTGATAATGTTGACATTCAAATTTTAAATCAACTTTCTAATGCTGCACAGCTTCTTTTTGTATGTCTATTCATTTTGTTAAAAGCCCATATTTCTGCAGATTCAGCTACATATTATTTATTAGTGTTTTATTATTTGTAGAATTAGATGTAAGTAGTTGCTGCGTAGGACTGTTTTCAACTCATGTGATCTAAATATTTACAATAACTCCAGAGTATTGTAAAGTCAAAATTTATTGAAAAATAGATGTAATTATTTCCAAAATTCACAACATATCTTTAACTGATTCAATTTTCTGCTTTGATCAATATTTGCTGGAGTTGTGTTAAGACTTTCAAAAACAGAATTTTCACTGCAGCAAAAAAGAAAAGTACATCAGAAAGCGATTGAAAAGCCCCATGAAGTACAGTTATTCATTAAAGAAATTTGATTTACTAAAAAAAGACAAACTTACTTTATCAGATGAATCACTTAATTCAAATTGAAGATTTTGTTTGAGAATTTTTTTTTTCAGTTGATGATGTTATAAAATATGATGACAAACATTCAAAGCTTCATTTGAAAACCTTAATAAAAGCTTTAAATATGAATAAAATGATATTTGGTACAGCTCTTATCATCATATACATGTGCGTCCACCTGTTCAGCACTACGCGGCCAACAAGTATCGTCAGTGTTTCATTTATTTGTTACGTAACTGTACTGTATCTGACATAGATTTCACTGATGCCACATGCTTCATGTTAAGACATTAACTTACCGGGGCGTCAGTGGCTTAGTGGTAGAGCAGGTGCCCCGTGTACAAGGCTGTTGCCGCAGCAGCCAGGGTTCGACTCCAGCCTGTGGCCCTTTGCTGCATATCACTCCCTCTCTCTCTCTCCCCCTTCACACTTGTCTGTCCTATCCATTAAAGGCTAAAAAATGCCCAAAAAAATATCTTAGGAAGACATTAACTTACCACGTGTCTTTGCTTTGTAGCTGTGTTCCAGGCTGATGTAGACTTGCATGATGGGAACATGCTGGATCTGAATTTGCAGACCGAAACGAGTCTGGAGCATGATGTGAAAGGATGAAGCATGGAATATGTTGATGTCACCTTTGGATAAAGACAAATACAAAAAATAACAGTCAGATCATTTGCTGATGTCATTTCATGAATGAAAGACGAGAGTAACGTGTTTCATCATGTTTCTAATTGTGTGACTCACTTGAGTGGTACGGCAAACTGATGGTCTGCATGTTCTGCTTCACTGTGCCGTCAGACGTGAACATTAACACCTGAATAAAAACAGAATCAATCATCTGAGTGTCGCTATCAGTGTGAAGTTATAAATGACTACAGTCATCTTCACTGACTGACGTTAACTCACATTGTTTCTGTCATTGTTCAGCAGGATTTTAATGCTCTTCAGACAAGTGTCAAACTCTTGATTTGCACATGGCACCAGCTGAGCCAGGATGGTAAACTTCGGACTTGCACTATCCTAAAATAAACAGAGTAAGAGCAGTTAAATAAATAATAAATAATATTTCTTTTTACATCAGCTGATTATATAT